CCGGGACATCGACACCCTCATCCTGAAAGGTGAGCGGCGGGCGCGCCCCGCGTCCCTGCTGCCGCGCGTGGAGCGCAGCCCGTGGCTTCCCAGGGGCGCGCCGGTCCCCGCGGCCACCTCCCCGCCGCGGCCCCGCGCTTCGCTGCCCGGCGCATTCTTTCATCCGTCCCCGCCGCCTCCTTTCTCCATCCCGTTCCCTTTCTTTCTCCTCCGCTTCTCTTCCTCTTCTTTCTTTCCACGATTCCTCTATCTTCCTCATCCTGCCCTTCGTATTTCCCCATCCTTCAAGTCCGTGCTCTACCCCTCTTTCCTGCTTTTGCCTGCCTCTGGCCCTCTTCTTTCCCTCTCTCGTCCTTCTCTGTGCCCACACCTGCCTGACTTGGGATGCATGTGTGGATTTTCTTGACGCGCCTCCCTGTGAGGGCAACAGTCAAAAAGACTCGATTTTTTTTCCTCATTGGGTTCCTTCCTTCAAGTTGTGCTTTCCTTTTATCAATACCTTTTGGAAGAAAAGCGTTGCAAACCTCAGAGGAGGTTTGCAATCTCTTGCATTGCGCGGATGTTGGTATCAAACTGAACTGATGTGGGCAGTCCACCCTGGTGGGCTCCTGGGGAGATAAGGAAGCCCCAGAACCTTCCTCCAAACACCCAAAGTGCAGGGTTTGTGTGGATTGGACTTCGCATACCAGTAGTTCACTAGGGTAGGCGTCTAAAGGCAGATAGGACACCTGCGGTATTCAGTGATAATGACCCACCCGCACCAATCCCCTGCCCCATCCCATCCCTCCTCAGGAACCAGGCAGAAGCCGAGGAGAGAAAATAGCCAAGCCCTGTAAAGTGGATGTTCCAGACGTGGCATTAAGTCTTTACATATCACTCTCTTATGTTGTGACATCTTCTAAAGAAGGTTATTTTTATTGTTTTGTTATCTGGCACTGAGTTTGCTCTTCTGAAATCTATACAACACCTGGCTTCCACATATGTAATCAGATAGTTTGATCTCTCTCTCTCTCTCTCTCTCTCTCTCTCTCTCTCTCTCTCTCTCTCTCTCTCTCTCTATTCCACTCATGCAGAAACATCAATGTGACTATCCTTTAACTTTCAGAACTCAACCCCTAACAGAATTTTTTTTTCCTTTCTGAGAGAAAAATAAATAAATACATATCTTCTTCCTTTGAGCTCACTTCAAAAAAGAAAAAGCCCAATGTCAGTACATTTTTAATATTTAGTAGCCATTTAGGAAGGCAAATGAACAGATGTACATTAAATTACAGCTTGAAATGGATTACATAGAAAGGAGGCTAATAATGTGTTGGCTTTCTGAGTCTTGTTAGTTGGCGTATTCTTCATTTCTCAAACATGTCAACTTCCTCCTTCCCATGGCTAACCCAGCTGGGGACTGCCATCCAAACTGTCTGTACATGGAAGGACTCCAGCAATTTGGGGAGAATTGGATACAGTAATCTTCCTTTGGAAAGTGCACCTTTTTCTTTTCTCTCCCAACTTGCATCCATCTCTGGTTCCTCCTCATGAAGATGCTGCATAATTAATTCTGATAGTAGCATAGTACATGAACAAACTGTAAAAGCTGAATTTGGAGGCTCAGTTATGGAATGCTCATTTAGGCAAAGCAATTTTGAAAGCTAAGCAGTGTAGTCTGTCTTTGGAAATGACAGAACTGCATTTCCTTACACTCTTTCTATGCCTAGAGTATTTGATTGCATGTAATTTGGGTATAGTGTAATGCCTGAAACAGCAGGGCAGAGTTCAACCCACAGCAGGAGAGGGACTCCCACAAGACACTGCAGAACATTTCTGCAAATGCCCTCACTAGCTGAGGCATATAGCTCTTGTCACAGTTCAGAATCAAATGATCTTAGAAGTGGAAGGACTTTAGAGGTCAATAAATCCAACCTTTATCCCATTGTCCTACCTCCCTTCTACAATCCTGACGGAGGGTTGTCCAGGCCAGCACTTCCATTAGACAGAACCCAAATTTCATGACTAGAGTTTTCTAGTCATGATGCATCTTCTAGATGAAAACAATCTCAGTTTTACATTGACAGTGTTGAGCTAATCCTTTGTAGAGACCACTGAAGAGTTTGAGGTTGTGGTCAGAAGACCTGGGATTCCTCCCTGTCTCTGTTGCTCAGTTGTAGTTTGTTCTCCCACAAGTGTCCAAGCCAGGAGCAAGGATGGCCTTCAGTTTTGTTGTCCTTACCATTAGGAAGGCTGACTGTTCTTTAGAATATGATCTAGTTCTCACATTTATCACTGTTGCAATCACAACAAAGTAAATTTAACTTTCTGGGAAATTAATGAGCTGGCACTATTAAGAAATGAGGAGCTTGGAAGAAAGGGTGACACTGGTCTGTTATAGAATCATAATTTGTTGTTTGGGAGAAGGTCAGGAATGTCTTGGGTACTTCCAACAGTACTTAGCGACTACCCTACCTTGTGTTGGTTATATAACTCTTTTGAATCTCAGTTTCATCATATGGAAAATGAATGGATGACATCAATAGCTTCAAAATCCGATTCTCTACATAATCTGAGAATGTCATCAATATTTCCCTATCTCAGATGATTTTGGAATCTGTATTGGGTAAATGTTATTGCCTGTGTTTAGGTGTCTGACATTAGCAGCAGTGGTATGAATTCCCTAAATGAGCCATATAAAAATAGAAACTGGGGGCTGGGGTTGTGGCTCAGTGGTGGAGCGCTTGCCTAGCATGTGTGAGGCACTGGGTTTGATCCTCAGCACCACATTAAAAACAAATAAATAGATGCCAGGCGTTGTGGTGCATACCTGTAATCCCAGCAGCTTGGGAGGCTGAGACAGGAGAATCACGAGTTCAAAGCCAGCCTTAGCAACTGTGAGGTGCCAAGCAACTCAGTGAGACCCTGTCTCTAAATAAAATACAAAACAGGGCTGAGGATGTGGCTCAGTGGTCGAGTGCCCTTGAATTCAATCCCCAGTACCAAAAAATAAAAATAAAGAAACTAAAATAAAGTTTCAAAAAAACCCTAGAAACCGACATTACATCTAATTTAAAACTTTGGAAAACCAGAGTCCAAGTTCTTTTCTTACTTTTCTCTTTGAATTACTTTGTTTATGAAATCTAACATCCTATAGACATTTTAATTGTTTTGAAAAGTTGACTCAAAAGAATGGGGAGGAATAGGAAAGGGGTATAAGGTCTGCCTGGCAGGTTTAGTGAGCTTTTGAGGAAAAGAAGTCAGCTTTTTTCTCTGTGGACCCACAGGACAAAGCCAGGAGGTGGGTGAAGGTTGCAGAGAGGAAAATATGGAAAACATTATCACCATCAGGATTATTTGCATTTCTTATTGTTCTTGCTGTACAAGATAAGGCAAAGACAAGGATTTCTGAGAGATGTGTAAGAGATGGAAACACACACTGTGAGCAATGAGAGATTAGTTTAGAAATGATATGTATAGACCCTATAGTATTAATCTACTTAAGAAAAGCCACATGAATCAGGATAGCATTGATCTTAATGGAGCTAATATTTGGAAGAATCCTTGAATTCTGATTTTTCATCATGTCATTATGATTCTAATTCATTTCTATCTATCCCATACCTTGGAAGTGTTTAAGATTGGACCTCTAGGATTGGGGCTGTGGCTCAGAGATAGAGGGTTTGCCTACCATGCATGAGGCACTGGGTTCAATCCCCAGCACCACATAACAATAAAATAAAGATATTGTGTCCACCTATAACTAAAAAATGAGTATTAAAAAAAGATTGGACCTCTAACCAGAATCTTCAACAAGAGTGGAGGTAAAATTATTGATACATTCTTTAAAAACCAAGACTAGATCCTTATGCTGCTCCACCAAGCTGATGAAGAACAGTTAACTCACAAGTATAGTTTGAGGACAGTTGTTTTTCGGGTAGTAAGTTCTCTTTATAGCACTGTATTCACCAATCCACACGCCACTATCTTGCACACCAGGATGACATGAGATTTTATCAAATGCTTCAGAGATAATTGGTTTGCATTATAATTCTGTAGTTCACTATCCAGCTCAATAAAATACCCATAGAAACCTATTATGTACAAGGTAATGCCAGGAAGGTTTTGGCTACCCATATGGAGTTCTGATGTGTTTAAATCTAA